AGCAGGTGCCCCCCCCCGTGCCCCGCCAATGCTCCCCCAGGCCCTGTTGCTACCGGACGCCGCCCTGACGAATCAGAGCCTCCAGGCCAGAGTGCCCGTGAATTTGCAAGGCCAAAACCCCTCCCCCGCTCCCTTGCCCATTCCCCTCCTTCCCCCTCTGGCCCGGCAGCGGCTCTGTACCGACCTGCGTGACCATGCTGGTGATGTCCCCGGCGTTGGAGGGCAGCAGGACGGTGTTGGAGTCCTTGGCCAGCTTGGAGAAGGCGCTCACGTACTGCTCCGCCACGGCCAGGGAGGCGGCCGCGTCGCCGTTCTGGAGACAGGGGCAGGGTCAGTGCGCACAGACCAATGGGAGGCGCTGGGCCCTGGTACCCCCGAGCGAGGGGAGAACCCCAGGCTAGGGCAGGGCAGTGGGGCGGCTCTGGAGAAGGGTTAGGGAGCTCTGGAGCTGGGTCTGAAAACGGGAAGCCAGCCAGTCCCCCGCTGGAATGCCAAGGAGCCAGAGCTCCTCTCCCCCAACAGCTGGGCCAGCAGCAGCGCCTGGAGCTGGCTTGGGAGGGGGATCAGAGCAGGAGGGCCGTGGGACGAGCATCCTTCCCCCAGGGCAAGGCAGGGCTGTCTCAGGGCACTGCTGCCAAGCCCTGCTTTGCCCTGACCCCGCCAGTGGGACCCCTTGCCCATCCTCCCCACGGCCACTGCTCTGGGACTGCGGCAGCGACAGGGTGAAGTGTGTAGCTCACCCAGCCCAATGCATGCTGGGAAAACCCCTTCCTGTACACTTCCCCGACACCCAGCCTCCATGCCAACCGAGGGCAAGGGCCTGGCACCCGGACATGGGCAGAGCTTCGGCCTCCCTGGCAATGGGCGCTCACCTGCTGCATCAGAGCATCAGCCAGGAGCCGAATCGCTTCTGCCTTGGCCTTGGCCTTGGCCAGCATGGCGCTGGCCTCCCCTGGCAGGGAAAGGCAGGAGAGCAGGCGTTAGGTGCGGGACAGCGGGGAAAGGCAAGCGGGCGCGCTCCTCCAGGATGCAGGGCTCACTGCCACAGGGCGCAGCCGGCTCGGCACCAGGAGAGCTTCTTGCTCAGCCGCGAGGCTGCGGGCAGCACAAAGGCAAGCGTCCGGCCAACGCGCCCCCTGCGGGCGGCCACATCACACCTGCAGCCTCCCAGCTCTGCGGGCAGGAGGAGAGGTCAATACCCCCCGCTGCTCTGTGGCGTCTGACGCTCCCAGGCACCGGCTCTCCGCAGCAGGGAGAGCCCCGGAGCCCGGCCCAGCATTACCAGCAGCTTTGTTGATCCGTTCGGCCTTCTCAGCCTCCGAGGCCAGGATCTGGGCCTGCTTCCGCCCCTCGGCCACGTTGATGTCAGATTCCCTGGTCCCCTCTGATTCCAGCACCGTCGCCCGTTTCCGTCTCTCGGCCTCCACCTGGAACCAAAGCACCCGGTGCTGCAGCCGCCCACAGACTGCCACCCCCAGGGGAGGGGCACCAACAGGGCCCACTGCCTCTCCTCCCGCCAGGCTGCACTGCTAACAAGCCGCTGAGACATTCCTGCCAGGCCCCAGGTGAGCCTCCCTCTGCCCCCCCCAGGGGGGCTGCCAACCAGGCGCTCCCGGTGGCCAGCGCTCAGCCCCCACGCTGCCCCCTTCGAGCCAGAGCCTCTTGGGGCTTCGTAAGCCTGGCGCCAGCCCTTTGCAGCCCTTTTGGGGATGCCCATGCCGCCACCAAAGGAGCATTGTGGCACCGTCCCTCTGTGCAGAGTGAAGATGATCAGTGCCCCGAGCCCCAGGCGCCTGCTTTTCTCCTTCTCGCCTCAGGGCCGAGTAGCTGATCCCTGGGGTCGGGGCCACTGGCAGACCAGGGGGGTGGGACCACAGTGAAGTGGGTCCCCGGCCTGTGCTCATTGTGGGTACCAGTCCCGCCACCAAAGGAGCATTGTGGCACCGTCCCTCTGTGCAGAGTGAAGATGATCAGTGCCCCGAGCCCCAGGCGCCTGCTTTTCTCCTTCTCGCCTCAGGGCCGAGTAGCTGATCCCTGGGGTCGGGGCCACTGGCAGACCAGGGGGGTGGGACCACAGTGAAGTGGGTCCCCGGCCTGTGCTCATTGTGGGTACCAGTCTGTCCAGGCAGCATTCACGGCCTTGCCACCCACCACGCCCCACCTGCCTGTGGGGCATGCCAGGGCTGGACGGGTGCTGACCTGCATCTGCATGGACTCCTTCACCCGTGGGGGCACGTGGATGTCCTTGATCTCGTAGCGCAGGCACCGGATGCCCCAGTAGTCGGAGGCCTGGTTGATGGCGTCCACGATGCTGGCGTTGAGGGACTCCCGCTCCTGCAGAGGGCACAGGGACCCGGGAGCTCAGTGAGGGGCTCAGCTCGCAGCAAGGCCCTGCCCCTTCAGAGGAGAGTGGCCAGCGGCCAGAACCGGGGCACGTGGATGTCCTTGATCTCGTAGCGCAGGCACCGGATGCCCCAGTAGTCGGAGGCCTGGTTGATGGCGTCCACGATGCTGGCGTTGAGGGACTCCCGCTCCTGCAGAGGGCACAGGGACCCGGGAGCTCAGTGAGGGGCTCAGCTCGCAGCAAGGCCCTGCCCCTTCAGAGGAGAGTGGCCAGCGGCCAGAACCGCAGACCCCTCAGTTAGAGAGCAGAACTGACCGGCCCCACCCGTGTCATCAGCGACGGGGGCAGGGCAGGCACCCCAGGACACGTATCAGCTATGAACAGGGCAGCAGCCAGAAAACTCAGCAGGGACGCCAGTCGCAGGGTAGCTCCGAGGCAGGGATACGGCCAGAGCAGCTCAGCCACCCACAGGGCCTGCTCTCCCCAGCCAGCCTGTCCGGGCGCAGAGCATCCGCCGCAGAAGAGGGACGCGGGCCCCTCCTGACCCTGCCTCCAGCACACAGCTCTGGTTACACAGGGACAGGCAAGGCTGGGGCCCTTCCTGGGGCTCGGGGAGCAGCGCACGAGCTGAGGGAGTCTGGCTGTTTGAGGAGGGAATGTCAGGCTGCAGGGCGGAAGCTGAACGCCTCTGAGAACACTGCCCCCTCCCTGCAGGGGGCGCTCACACCAGTGCACTGAGGACACCAGCCAAGTGCAGACCTCCCAGCAGCTCCCGCCCCAGCCCCAAACTAACCCGGAAGACTTTGTCCAGGGAGAGTTTGCCCAGCTCCGACCGCATGGTGGTCTGGGCCAGCTGGGTCACTGCATACTCAGGGTCTTCCACCCCGTAACTGGCCTGGAAAGGGAAACAGGGACCATGATCAGACTTAGCACCCAAGAGTCCTGCCAGCCCAGCAGCCACCCAGGCTGCTCCCAGCCCCCTCTCGCACTGGCCAGGGGGTGGCCCTCTCCCCAGAGCGTCTACTTCGGACAGCTGCTCCCCTGGGGCAGGGCCTTTCTGCCAGGCCTAGTGTGGGAACTCGCCCCTCCAGTCTCTGCACTGGGATCCTTCAGAGACGAGGCCCTAGCTAGAGAATCAGCATCCAGCCCCTGCCAGCATCCCCAACACAGCAAACCCAGCTGGGCCACTGGAGCCAAAGTCCAAAGCCCAACTCCCAATGGGCCACGCCATCGCTTCCGCATGTCACCACCGCCGGGCCTAGTCCCAGGCCCGGGAGCAGCTCGTGTTTCAGGCAGGGCTAGGGCCCAGAGATTTGGGGCAGGAGCCTCATCCAGAGAGCCCCTGGAGGCCAGGCCAAGACCCCACGGAATGAGAGGATGACAAGGGGGGAGAGCAGCACACTCAGCCTCCCCCAGCTATACCAAGGCCACTGGGAGCTGCAGGGCCAAGCTCCTTCATGCTCAGGAACAGAGGCATAAAAGCCAGGTTGGGACAAGGCTTCTCCTGTCACTGCTGGGACCTGTCAAGCCCCACACCCCTCCCCCAGGGAGCACTGGGAGGAGGCGCTCTATGCCTTGGTCCTTCCAGTGACACTAGACACCCTCTGCCTCCAGATTTTCTGCACGAGCAGCTGCCAGCTGTGCAGAGCAGGGAGCATTAGCAGAGGCCTGCAGGACGGGAGGTGGCTGCCGTGTGTCTCCACAGCGAGCCTGCTGGTACCTTGTAGGGGTCCATGATCCGCAGATACAGGACACCATCTATCTGCAGGGTGACATTATCTGCAAGGGAAGAGGAGAATCTTCCTGTCACTAGGGCAGCGTCTACCCTGCACCCGCAGCCTGTCCCTGTACAGAGGGACGCACCAGGCAGGGGCTCACAGGGATACGCGACTTCCCACTTCCGCAGTGCGACCATCTGGGCCAAGCCCAGGTCCCAGAGAACAGAGCTGCACGCGCTCACTAAGGCTCCCACCCCCCACTGCTGCCCCGCCTCCTGGAGTGCAGACAGGGGACTAGGATGGGGTAGGCAGGGCAGAGAGGCGCCTCACCCAGGGTCACAGCTGACTGCTCCGGGACATTGATGACGATTTCCTTGAGGCTCTGCACGTAGCGGATCCGATCCAGCACTGGGATGAGGAAATTCAAACCCTGGGAGGATACCAGGGAAAGCAGCAAGTAAAACCCAGCGTCCTGGCCTCAGAGCAAAAGGCACTAAGCACAGTGCTGGGCCCGCTCCCGCCAACCGGGCAGCAATGCTGGAGATGACTGCGTGGGCAGACAGTGTGCTGTAGCAGCCGTAGGGGTGGAATGGACTCACCCTACACACTTGGGAGGGTTGGAACATGGAGATCTAAGGTGGCAGGTGGAAACAGAGGGGAGCATAATGCCCCAACAGCTGGCGACTGGTGAGATTACGACAGAGAGGGAGCGTGGGACGGAATGGCCCAGAGCCTACCAACGGCCCAACGTGCTCCGCAAGGGAACTCTCGCTCTGGCTAAGACCCAGCCCCACACGCTCACTATCCAGCTGGGGCAGGGTGCCCAGGAGACCCCCAGAAGGGCAGGGACAAGCCAAGTACATTCAGTTTGCAGCAGCTTTCATCCTGTCTCCACAGCAAAAATAAGTATGGGGGGGGAGGGGGAGAAGGTCCATTCTTTGTACCTTCAGGGGAGTCCTTATGATCTCTCTGCTCCAACCTTCCTCCCACCTTGCCTCAGAGAACTATTTGCACTGCCCATCAGATCAAGTGGGTGGGGCCACGAGGGCAGATATCCCCCCCCCCACCCCCAGGAAAGGAGCCGGCTTCTTTCTGTGGTCACTGCTGATGAATGAAGCCAGGCGGCGAAGTCGGCCAGGCCTGTGCTCAACGGCTCTTACTGGCACATGGGGAGCGATGCAAGGAAATGGGAGCTGGCAGCTCAATCCCCTTTGCCCCGGAAGTGCCAATGCCCCTCAAAGGGAGCCTCCCACACAGGCTGCAGGGCGCCCGTCAGCACCCGGCAAGGGAGAACGGAGGCTCCTTACGGGCTCCAGGATGCGATGAAACCTGCCCATTCGCTCCACCACCCAGGCCTCCTGCTGGGGCACGAAGAGCACCATGGTGTTCATGGGCAGGCTGGAGGCGCATCGCTGCGGGACGGGCTCCAGGATGCGATGAAACCTGCCCATTCGCTCCACCCCCCAGGCCTCCTGCTGGGGCACGAAGAGCACCATGGTGTTCATGGGCAGGCTGGAGGCGCATCGCTGCGGGGCAGAGGCCAGCCCTGCCCCCGGCCGCCGGGCGCCCTGGGGAGAG